CTGGCTCTTCATGCGGCTGAATGGCCCTCTCTTCCTGGAGTAGCAGTCTTGCGAGTTCACCAGGCACTTCGCAATCATCTTCACCTTCGTCTTCGGCCAAGTTGATCGGATTTTCGAAGTCATAACTGGCAGTAGCAGAGCTGTTACCAGTGAGATCCAGAGTGGATTGGAACCTGTATAAGTGAGTGTGTGTAAATATAGCTATTTTGCAATATATAACACAAAAATAAAAAGAGCACAAGATTTGAAATGCAACAAACGTCCAATGTTTTGATTAATGATATATGGAAATGTCATACAAAAAGCCCTCACAAATGGAGCCACGGTGCCCCGGGTAGGACACCGAGCCAATAAAAGTTTCAACATATTGTTTGTTACAAATTGAAAACAAAAGAGTTCATTACTGCGTGACAAATGTAATAGGTGTAAAATCCTTTGTCGTCCAGTTGCTTGGTCCGTTGTGGGTTGTCGGGTAGATCCAACTGTCAAATTCTGCTTCCTCTACGTCCTCCTCGATAGCATTCACCCTTGGGTTGGTGATGAACACCGGAGCCTTTCTGATCCTTTCTTTGCGAACAGCCCTCTGAGCCTCTGCAGTGAAGCCCAGCCCAAACTTGTCGGTCTTTTGAGTGAAGTCAGGAAGTTGACCCCAGTTTGCGCACTTGCCTTTCTCGATTACAGACCGGGCATCCTTCAAGGAAGCCATCTTCAAAGGAAAGTCCTCTTCAATCACTGTTTCAGCTGACGCCAACGTTGGAGGTACCTCTTCAAAATGTTGAAAGGGGGTTTCAATAAACTCCCCGTCCATTTCAATATACCGGAATGAATTCAGATGACTTACCATGTATTCCTCCTCTCTCTGCACAGTAACAATCTTCCCTTTGACAGGGTATTTGAGCTTCTGGTGTAGAGTGGATGTTACCGCCCCAGCCTTGTGAATCCAAGGTCGTCCCAGTAAACAGGAATAAGATGGACGAATATCCATCACATAGAACGTTGAGTCGAAGACTTGGGAACCCACACGAATAGGAATGTCTACCTCACCATGCACCATCCTCTTAGAACCGTCGAAGGCTCTAACAATAATGTTACTAGGCTTCAATTCCAGGCCCTCACAATCCAACCGATCTAAGGCCTTCTTGGGTAATACATTCAGGGAAGAACCGGTATCCACCAACACGTGTGCGAGAGTAGTAGCCCTGCATTCTATAGAGACGTGCAGGGCATCATTGTGGTTTTTCCCTTTGGCGGTAAGGTCTGCATCCGAGAAACCCAAACCATTGTCAGCTGTCAAATTAGCCACACAGTCAGTGAACTGATCTGCAGATGTCTCTTGCGGCACATGGGCCGTTTTTAGAAATGAAATCAGGGCCTTGGCGTGGGCCTCTGAGCACAGCAGCAATGATAACATAGAGATTTTGGAGGGGGTATGCCCCAGCTGTTCAACGACATTGAAGTCACTCTTTTTAATGATTTTAAGGATTTCCTCCATCTCTTGCTAGGAGGCTTCAACAACAGTCTTTTTTGGTGCCTCCGTCCGGGCAGGCAAATCGGTAGCAACTTCTTTGCCCCGAGCATCAGAGGACTCGGCAGCAGTAGTAGACACATGAACTTGATTTGGAACGTGCACACTTGCGGGTGTGATGATAAGAGGTTTTCGGATAACTGGCGGTGCAATGTCAGGCGAGAAAAGCCTGCCACTGTGAGTAATATTGGCGGGACCAGTGATGTTACTGATACTGGTACCGGTGTTGAACTCCTGCTTCACTCCAAGCACATACACATCTGCCCCATAGTGCCATGGGACAGCCTTGTCAGATTCATAGGGGAGGGGCCCCGGAACAGTAATGGTAACGGGTGTAACAGACATAATTTTGACTGGCTTCCTCAGGGGAGCCTTGGTAAGATTGTTGAAAATTGTGACGACAGATACTTCTTCAGCGGAAACAAATGGAACAGCGGTTTTCTTGAACAGGATCTCCTTGCTATCCATCAGGCTTTGGATGCCTGACTTCAGCAGCGGACAACCGGTAGGGAGAACAGCACACAGGAGGCAACCCTTGCTACAACCCGGAAATAAACCAGCTAGCAGTAGGTTCCTCTTAACAGTCAATAGAGGGGTAACAACATCATTCACCGAAACAGCATACAAATCTTCCTCAATGGCATTTACTCTATGCTGGGGCATAGGAGCAGTTACAATATTTGGCCTCTCAGGCGCCTCGAACTGAATTTCCTTCGCATCAATAAGGTCTTGAACCTTATTTCTCAGGGCCCAGCAATCATCAGTAGTATGCCCGGGGCTATCGGAATGATAAGCACAGCGGGCATTTGGGTTATACTTAGGAGACGCAGTATTCACGACCTTCGGAGCCTCTTTGATGGTCACCAAGTTGGTTGATAGCGGTTGCGGTAAGATTTGTGACAAGGTCATACTTAGTCGAGTGTATTTCCTCTTGGGCCTCTCACCCCTTTGTTGATTGTACTGCTGAGGAGCAGCAACAGGTTTTGAAATTACCAAGGCATTGACGGCTTGGCGGCTTTCTGGCTTGACTTGTCTTCTAGGACCATAGACGGCACTAGCTTCCTTCTTGAAAGGCCTCTGCTCAGTACTTGCGGCGGCTCCTTTCTGTATCTTTCCTGACCTGATGCCAGCTTCTATCCTTTCACCCGTCAGGATCAAATCCGTAAACCCAGCGGAGGAATTACCAACCAGATGATTGAAGAATGGACCAGACAAGGTCCCTAGAAACATGTCAACCAGCTCACGGTCAGTCAATGGAGGCTGCACCCTTCCAGCCAAATCTCTCCATTTTTGTGCATATTCTTTGAACCCTTCGCCCGTTCCTAGAGACATACCCTGAAGTTGGGTACGCGTAGGAGCGAGGTCAGAATTGTATTGATATTGTCTATAAAATGCGGTAGCCAAATCTTCCCAATGTCGGATACTGGTTCCGTCTAGTTGATAAAACCACTCAAGTTGCGACCCCGAAAGGCTATCTTAGAAGAAGTGGATCCAAAGATTTTTGTCTGCCGTGTAAGGTTGGATCTTCCTTACGTACGACCTGAGATGCAGCTTTGGACAGGAAGCCCCGTCATATTTGGCAAAGGCAGGCGCCTTGAACTTTTATGGGATTACCACCCCAGAAGATAACCCTAAATCTCCGAAATCCAGCCCCGACACATTTTGAATCTCCATGGCACTCAAGCGGTCCTCTAATTGCTTGTATCTGTCAGCAGTGGGAGGGTATTGTTCGTCATTGTAATCTGTCTCGTTGTCAGAGACTGCAGGACTAGGAGCCCCTCCCCCTTGGGGACTGTCTTTCTTTGTAGAGGAAGTAGTTGGATCAGCCTCGTTATGGAGTGTGTTCCCAAACCTGCGTCCAGTATTGAACAACGCAATCCTCTTCTTCTTCTTCTTCTTTAGGAGCAGAGCCTTCAACTCTTGTTGACCTTGGGCCAGGCTCATGACCATCTCTTGAAACTGGGCACTCTGGGCCTGGAGGGCCTTGATTGCTTGCTCACTGGATGACTCTGGATTCATGATGACTTTTCAAAATAAACAGCGAAGAAGATTAAGCAACCTGTAGGAAAAAGGGGTACCTGTTATGCACATGATGCATGAGATGCTATCTATGCAATGCATTCAAGGATTTCAGAAATTCACAATTGTTGCAGACAAAAAGAACGCACGTCATATTAATAAGAAGAAATTTGTTAGTACATAAATGCCCCATGGGCCAAATATTACAAAAACAACTTCTCAAGGTAAAAAGACGTTGCGCATCCTCTTTGGCGCAATGTAGGTGTTGAGGGCCTCTTGCTCATGGAGTCGGCGGGTGAGTGTAGCGGTGAAAATCGGAGATCAAGCTATTAATTAACTTGACTCACAAAAGCAATAGTCGCCACCGCACTTTATTATTTCCAAGGGAAAAGGGAAAAGAGCGAAATAAAACCCTAAAATATGCAATGTAAAATAATACTTAAAAGTGATAAAAATACAATGCATTTTTGAAAGAGATCGAGAATTCGGGGGTTGGTTATACAATGGGAAGGTATTAGCACCCAATGCATCTGCGGTACTCCGCAGGAACCTTTTGAAATATCTGTTTTTGGTTAAAATTGTTTGTTTGATTAAAATGGTTCGTTTGGCTAAAAATCGGTGTTGGAGAGATTTTGAAGAGACAGCGACCTAATGTCAAAGTTTTGACTTACAAAGGGGCGAGTTTTAAAATTGAGTCTTTTAGGAAAAATAAACTTGATTAACAAAATGGTAAAAAAATGAAGGAAGGTATTCACACGATTGAATGAGATGTGTTTGATAACATGAAGTCAACAAAGTTAAAACATTTCCCTTGGATTTAGACAAACAAAATATAAAGACTAAATGATCGAAAATGGAAAATAACAATTTAAATAATTAAATAATTAACAATAAAAATAAATGAAAGACAAAATTAAACTAATATATTTGTATGGTATTTTTTATGAGGCGAAGAAAAAAACTAAATATACGCATATTCTAATACTTTTTGTATTTTTGTATAGTTTAATAATAATAATAATAAATATCATAAAAAATATAAAATAACTAGAATAAAATTAAATCATAAGAAATTAAGCTGGTTAGTTACATAGAAAATATTAAATAAAAAAAGTTAATTATTAGTATGAGGCATTAGACAAAGATAATGAATCTTATATATAAAAAAAAGATAAATGATAACATAACATAAAAGAGTAGTAACAAAAAATAGAAATTTGAAAATAAAATGAAATAAAAATAGGGTGGAGGCACGTGGGATGTGGAACCATCCTTTATTTATAACCTGATGTTTTTTGTTTTATATTAAAAATTAAACTAACAAAAAATATGGAGAAAAAATAGTATATTTGACCCGGTTAGAAAGAAACGAGGAGAAAAAATTGGTAACCCTAATGTAACAAGGGAAGGCGCCGGCGGCGGCTATGAATTGGAAAGAGGAAATATTTTGTTATTTTCAATAAGCAATTAAATATATTTCTTCCATTTTTCGATAAAACAAAATTGTATCTTTTGCCTTTTTTTCTTTATTTTCCAATTTCTTAGGCTCAACCTTAGTTATGTCAGTATCTATTTCCTTTCCATTCCCACCTTTGTTCCTAACCTTCTTCTGGAGTTTATATACATCAAAAGCTCCATTATTCCAATTATCAATATCTTTACCATCACCACCATTACCGGTTCCATTTCTCTTCCCTTCAAATCCATCTCCCTTCCATGTAACCTGATTCTTCCGATTCCCCTTCACAACCACCAGATTCGAATTCGATTCCTTCAACTCCTCCGCCCTTGCCTTAGCTTCGATCTCCAGCTGCTTAAAAAAACCTCATCAAAATCACGATACACCGTCCGCGTCGGATCACAAACCTGAGAGTATTCACGCTTAAAACCAAGATCGTTGTGGAAGATCCATTTCAGCGAATAGGAAGCTCCAGGTGCATCGTAGCTGTACGAAGCCGCATCTGATCGCTCCTCGAGAAGACACGATCTATTCAAGGTATCAAACGGTGAACCCTTCAGAGCGTTACCTAATTCTTTGCATGACCATAGAATTAAACCTCCTCGCATGAAAATCAGTAACTGCTATTTTTCTTATTTCGCATAACTCTGTTTCTTCGGTTTCAGGTCTGACTATTCTTATAGTTCATAAAATTCGCCACATTAAAGAGCAACAACAAAGATACGGTTCCCAGTTTTCAACAACAGCATTAGCAACAATATAACACACAACAAGCTAAGCCTTCTCACGATATCAAGAAGACGATGAAAAGAGGAAATATGACTAACCTGCAAACAAAGATTTGAAGTCGAAGCCTGATGATGAAGCGGAAAGAAGAAAGGAAAAAAGCTGAATACAAAATCAGGTAATAAGCTTTCTCCCTCTGTATTTCCCGAATCTCACTCCTATAAATAATGTGCGGAAGTCTGAACTGGGATTGATACTATTAACATTGTTGTTGGAATTATATGTTGGTGAAGGTTGAGGAAGTTGTTTTTTAGGATTTGTAGTAGTTTCTGATTGATGATGATGGTTTTGCAAGTTTATAAATTATAATCTTCAGCAAGTTAGTAAGGAGCTGGTTTGTTGAGGAGGTGATGGGTGCTCGGTTAAGAGTTTTCTTCTGGTTTTCACAGTCTGAGTTTTATAGCCAGGAAAGAAAGAAAGAAAAACGAATTTTGGGGGGAAAATGGTTGTGAAAGTTGGTTTTGTGATAACTGTTTTATTGCTTTTTAGTGCAGATATTTGTATGGCTATTTTTGTTGTTATTTCTTGGACTGATATGCAAGGTTTGGAGCAGCATACAACAGCAGTTTTTTTGGCATTATTTGTGCAGAATTTTTGACTTGTTGTTGGACTGATATGCAGAGTTTGGAGCAGCATACAGCATGGATGATTTTTGAGTGGTTTGGGCAGGTTTTAGCAAGGATTTGGCAAGTTTTCGTTTGCAAGCTTTAAAGTTACAAGACTTGGAGCATGAAGATTTAGGTAAACTTGGAAACTTGGCATGAAGATTAGAAAAATGTTTAGGTTTAATTATGGACAATGGATAGGATTAGGACTTAGGAATATATGTAAACTCTTGTGTAATCTTCTTGTAATATCTTGAAGTGATGAGTGATCCTTGTAAATTTCCTAACTTATGGATGAATAACTCTTGTCATGAATGTATCTTTGATGAAATTTTGATGGCTTTAACATTGTTCAGTGATCTTGAAAATGGAAATCTTGAACCTTTGAATGAACTTGTCTTGATCAGACAATTTAGGTAATGAATTTGAAATGGTATGAATGTCTTTATAGAGTTGTCATTTATGTGGCAAGTGAACCATGAATCTTCTAATTTGCCATTAGAAAGAATAAAATTGAATGGAATCTAAATGGACTAAGAATGAATTTGAATCATGAGCAAAACTTATATGAATCTTGAATGTACTTTTGATAAGTTTGAATGACTTGAAATGGTGAATAATGTTGAATGATCTTTGTAACTTGTTATATTTGAATTCAAAATTTCCATAATTCCAAATTGTAAGCATTATAAATTGGATAAAACTTTTGTCCCTTGTATTCGAAACTCTCTTGAAAAACATTTGCAACTTTGAATGGCATTTGAACTTGACATTTGAATTTTGAACATTGTCTTGAAAGTTAAATGGTTTGAATAATGGATGATGAATAGTTAGATCTTGAGACTTTGTATTTTAGGTACTTGAAACCTACACTTTGAAGAGTAGTGAATGATATTGTCATGGAGTTACTTTGTAATTTTCTTTCTCTATTTTTTGACAAAAACAAACAAATAATAACATAATAGTAACAATAATATAAGAAAAAGAAAAAAAAAAGTATTAGTAACAATAAATAAAATAAGAATAATAAAATGCAACAATGATAATAACAATAATGAGAACAAAATAAAAATAATTAGTAACAATAAAAGATGAAATAATAAAATGCAATAAAGATACTAATAATAATAACAATAATGAGAAAAAGAGAAAATAGTTAGTAATATCTAAAAGAAATAGAAATAGATTAAAATAAAAATAAAAAAAATAATAATAAGACAGATTTTTGAACTAAAACAAATTCATTGGAAATATGATAGAAAATGCAAATGATAAACTATTTTAATTCTTTTTTTCTTCTTTAAATGGAAATTAGAATGATGAATAAAAACAAGAAAGTATGCGAAATGATCGATTTTTCAAATTAACGACAAAATATGCACCAGTCGAAAAAAGTGAAGGGGCGAAAAAAAATGGGGTGCGACAGTTGTGCCTTGATGAATCAGTCTTCGAGAATCCATAATCAACCGTACTTTTGGCTTGGGAGACTCAAAACCTTAATTGAGGCGCGACACCTGATGCTCTTGATTCAGACCTGTCTCTGCACATGAAGCAAAAGAAAACATTAACATACACCTTTGTACGCGATTAGAAATTAGTGATACATATGCTAAAAATGTTCAAAACACTTGACAATCTTCGCATAGTCAAAGCTCGAAGGTGAGACGTTAAAACCGACTGTATTTCGTGACCTTGACTTATCTTTAAAAATGCAAAAATAAAAATGGGATCTTAGGTCAAAAATTGGGGTACAACAGCTGCCCCTATTTAAGTTTCTTCTATCTGGAGATATGAAGATTGGGATCTTCATTTCGACGAGATTGAAGGGACTTAAATATAGAATACACAATTTTTGGCCTTAAGATACCGCGATTATGTTTACGATATGATATGAATGTAATGCTCTGCATTTTATGGGGTATGACGCCATATGAGACAGACTATGCTGGAGAAACCAAGCACATTATACAGTAATCCCACAGAGGAAGAGGTCGTAACTCCACTGGGGAAACAGAGTCATAGACTTCAAATGAGAGACTCTTGAATGATTTACATCAGTATTGGGACTGGAAAAGGTAATGATTTACATCAGTACTGTGACTGGAAAAGGAAATGATGGACATCAGTACTGAGACTGGAAAATGATTGACATCAGCACTGTGGCTGGAAAACAAAATGATTGACATTAGCATTGTGGCTGGAGATAAACATCTCTGATTTCTGAATTTTACCAAGAACGGTAACACATTTCTTCTTTAACCAAGATCGCTTGAAAAGGATAAAATAACAAACTTCCCCACGGGACTTTTCCGAAAGGGATGCCATTTACTGAGTAGACCTTATTGTTGGGGATACACAAGCTGCTCAAATAAAGAGGCCGCCACTTGCTTCCTTTCAAAGGTGTTAATAACATACGAGTTGCTCATGAAGAGACCGCCACTTGCTGTCTTCAAAGAATATTAGAGCACACAAGCTGCTCATGAAGAGACCGCCACTTGCTGTCTTCAAAGAATATTAGAGCAAACAAGCTGCTCATGAAGAGTCTGCCACTTGTTGCCAATAACCCACAAGCTGCTCATAAAGAAGCTGCCACTTGCCGTTTTCCGTACAAGTTGCTCATGAAGAGACCGCCACTTGCCATTTTCAAGGGAACAATAACACACAAGTTGCTCAAGTAGATAAGCTGCCACTTGTTGTCTTTCAAAATACTAACGTACAAGATGCTCGTGAAGAAGCTGCCACTTGTCGTTTTCAAAAAGTGTTGATAACATACAAGTTGTCCATGAAGAGACTGCCGCTTGCTGTTTAAAAAGTGTTGATAACATACAAGTTGTCCATGAAGAGACTGCCGCTTGCTGTTTAAAAAGTGTTGATAACATACAAGTTGTCCATGAAGAGACTGCCGCTTGCTGTTTAAAAAGTGTTTATAACATACAAGTTGTCCATGAAGAGACTGCCGCTTGCTGTTTCTTTTCAAAATTACCAATAACACAAGTTGCTCATGAAGAGACCGCCGCTTGATGTTTTTCAAGAGAAAAATAACACACAAGTTGCTCATGAAGAGACCGCCGCTTGCTGTTTGTCAAGAGTATCCATAACACACAAGTTGCCTCGTAAAGAGACTGCCGCTTGTTGTTTGTCAAGAGTATCCATAACACATAAGTTGCTCATGAAGAGACTGCCGCTTGCTGTTTCCCAAAAAGATACCCATAAAGTATCATGAAGATATTGCTGGAGGTGAGAACCAATAATTTCATCGAGGAAGGACAAACTGCTCATGAAGAGACCGCCATTTGTCGTAGAGAAATCAGAAATAATCAAACTGCTCAAATAAAAAGTCAATCGCTTGTTGTCATGTTGATATTCCAGAAGAAGGTTGTGATAACACTGCTGGGGAATAAAGTTCATCTCCAATGGGGAACCATGAATAAATCCTTCCTGAGAAGACCCGCTATTTGAATTGCAAAATAAATGCACTCTCCATCTAGGTTTCACGGCCTAGAGAGATCCACAGGGTATCATTCACAAGAGACAAAGCTCAATCCAGGAATAAACTGGAGAGAAAACAGTCAAACAAGACTCCACCCAATGAGGAAATAACTCAAATGGGGATTTATCCTATCCAGAGATGGAAAAAGAAAGCTAAAGCAAGATTCTTCCACGAGAGTTAACTCAGTGGGGAATTAGAAAGAAGACGCACTTTCTGCTTAAGTTGGCACTCTACTTGGAAAGATCGAATACATTATTTGAATAGACACAACCAAGGTACACGAACTCAATGACATCAACAAATACAACTGTGCGTGCATGATGCAAGTGTGAATGAATAAATGAATGCCATGTATGTGCTGACAAAACAAATAGACAAGATAAACTGTAGATGATAAGACATCATAGCACAACCCAACACTCGGCTAATCTCAACAGGATGGGAACATTACTGGAGATAAAACACATGCCATCATTGGAGCAAGGTCCTTTTACAAGGCTTAAATATCTCTGGAGAGGAAGATATTTTCAGGTAGAAAACCCAAAGTTCAGTCTTCTATTGCGAACAATCCATTGAAACAACACAAACAAAGTTTCAGCTGGAAAGAAGTCTTGCTTAGCTGGAGATATTGGGAACACCACCCTCTGATAATGTATGAAAAACATATCTCATATCTTAACAAATATGGATTGCCCCTGGGACTAATTTTGGATGCCCCAAGTTTACT